AGCTCTGGTAGCTTATGCTTAAGGCACTTGACTGCTAACCAGGAGAGTGGCGGTTCAAACCCACCAGCCACTCCTCGGAAGGAAGATGGGGCAATCTACTTCCGTAGTGATACTGCCTTGGAAACCCAAGAGGGGTCTGTGTGAGTTGGGTCCGACTGGATGGTACACAACATCAACAACAACAAGAACAACAACAGGTGAAAGGTTGGCAGTTGGAACCCACTTAGTGGCTCCACAGACAACAGTCCTGGTGATCTGCTCCTAGAAAGATGACAGCCAAGAAAACCCCACAGAGTGGTTCTCTGCACACATGGGGCCATAGGCGTTGGAGGCCGACTGGGTGCCAGCAAACAACAGCCTTGGAGTCACCAGGAGTTTTGACGGAAGAAGCACTGGAGAGACCGTGAGTCAGGTGCGAACTTGCCCAAGCACGAGGAGAGAGGCCCTGAGGTCTCCCGATGACTGTAACAGGGATTGACAGGAGCAGTCAGTGGGACGTCCTTCCCCATCCCTCCTCTTTCCAGCCCCTGGCCTCCCCACGGTTCTGCAGCTTCTCACGTGAAACAGAAGAATGACTTTCTTGAGTGGCTACTGAGGACCAGGCACGCGTGAGGCATTTTTCCTTCTTTAAGCCTCGTGATGAAGCTGCCAGGCGAGCTATCGTTATCATTGGAAATGAATCAGAGAGCTTGAGTGACTTCCTCCAAATCACGTTGTTGTTGTTGTGTGTTGTGTCGATTCCAGAGAGCTGAGTTTCTTCTCAGGGGTCTCTGACTGCAGGTCTTCATTCAGTGAAACTGATGGGAACCCGGACTCAGTGGGACTGCCTTCTGTTTCCGGGTCTTGCCACTTTTGACAGGATGCAGTCTTACCACTTTCCTGTCACTCCTTTTAGTGGGAAATACCCGTGTTCTCCTCTGACAGGTTTCTGCTTTACGCACGTCCCAGCTTTCACAGTTTTACTGTACCACATGTTGTTGTTGTTATGTGCCATCTAGTTGGACCCAACTCATAGCGATCCCTCCTTGGGTTTCCGAGGCAGTATCACTATGGAAGTAGATTG